GTGCTCCGTGGGTGAGGCGGCGGCTGTATATCACTTTCTCTGTGCCGTGACAGTCTCAATCGGACCCGCGAGAGCAGTGCCGACGGCGGCAGCGCGAGCCACTGAAGCCATCCTGATGCAGCCAATCGAGGCATTTGTATGAATGTGCCGATGACTTACACCTCCGTGCACCAAGCTACCTACCACAGGCACGGGACTGACGTCTGCCATTCCCACCGCCCTCGCCCTCCCTTTCCACCTCACGTTTTGCTGGGGGCCGGTGTGTCCCCGGGCTGTGTGCCGTTGTTTGCGGCGTCGTGGCGCCCCTCCGGGATGTTTGTTGTTCCCTGCGTCCCTCAGTGGTGGCTGCTGTGGGCGTGATGAGTGCTGATCGTCTTTATCCTAACAAAACGCCTGATTTTCCTGCGTGAAGTACATTGCATCTACCTCTGATAACCTTGTCACCCCCTCGTTTATTCCTTCTTTGCGCTGCTAATTTCTTCATGATTGGCGGTGGTGCGTTTGCCTTTATGCGTGGCTCAGGATCATATATTTGGCGTGCCTAATCGTGGTTCTTGCCGTGCTTGTCTGCCTTTTTCCTGGCAAATGTAGGAGCGGCGTTGGGCAGCCTTTTGCCCTTCTTGTACTTCACGAATCCTTTGAAACTCTCTGTAGCTGAACAAAAGGGAGGTACATGCGGTGAGTTGGCTTTTGTGTACCTCGGCGACCATTCCTGTCCCCATGTAACTGACCTGCGCGTGTTTTCCCTGCATTTTCCTTCTCTAGTTTGCTCTTCCCCTCTCACTTGCTGCTTAGCCTCCGTGTTGTTTCTTGCTCTTGGCGGCTGACGCTCTCAGCCCACCGTTGTGGTGGAGAGAATCGTGTTCATTTCCTACCGCCGCTTTTGTATGGCCCCTCTCTCCGTGTCGCTGTTGCGGATCGCAGTGCTCGACGGCCGCGTGTATGAGTGACTGTTGACCCGTCTTCCTTTTTTATGCTTGAACAGCCCATCCAGCGTGGGCGCTTCCTCTCTGAGTGTCTGTGTTGTCTGTCGTTTCTTGTCGTTTCGGGTGCCAGGAAGCAAGGGGGCGCCGACACAGAGTGCGAGTGGTGGTTGAACCGCCCGCCCGCCCCACACAACTGCCTGCTGATAGAGGGGAGAGAGTCGAGGTGCGTGACAGTCCTTTGGGTTCTCTGCGCTCTTGCTCCTTGTTTTTCGGTTTTTGTTTTTACAGTTTGTGTGTCTGTGTGTCAGGCACGCTGCGGATGGAGTCGCCTGTGGAGCAGGCGGGGAGTCGGCCGCGGCGGCAGCGTCCGCGTCCGCCGCACTCCCCCGGCGTGATGTCGGCCACCACCACCACCACCGATGACGTGGCGAGCGGCACGGAGGAGAGCGCCAGTTCGCTGCTGCGCCAGGATCCGCAGCTGGCGGCTGTGCTGGGTGGGCTGCCCAGTTCATCGAAGGAGCTCCTGCGGCGCATTGAGCGGCAGCAGGACGAGATTCGAGTTCTGCAGGAGGAGAACACGCGGCTGCGGGCGCGGGAGGTCGAAGTTTCCGCGTTGACGCTGCGTCTGCAGCAGCAGTTTGGGGCGACGCAGTCACAGGTGGACCGTCTCAAGTCACAGGTGCGCATGGAGCTGATGAACCCCATAACGGAGGAGGAGTACACGGCGATTGAGTCCCTCGAGGAGGGAAAGCGGGATCTGCTGGACACAGTGAAGCTTGGCATTTACCAGCAGCTTGGGTCCATGCGGGCGGCGAAGGATGCGGCGATGCGTCGGTCGACGGAAATGGCGACGGAGACGACGCGGCTCACCCGTGAGAACAGGGAGCTTCAGCAGCGGCTAAAGGAGCTGGAGGCCGTTGTGGAGGCTGAGCGACAGTCCTTCCGACGCCAGCTGCAGGAAGTGGAGCAGCGCGGCAGTGGCGTGGTGGAGCTCGAAGGAAAAGTCCGGGACTTGGAGTCGCGACTGAAGAACGCGTACGTGGACCAGGAGCAGTTCCTGACGGCAAAGCTGAATGCGTCTGTCAAGACGGAGGAGGCCACGCGGCTGGGCGTGCGGCTGCGCGAGGCGGAGATGGAGGCGGAGCGGTACAAGACGGTCGCCGAGTGCTCAGAGCAGAAGCTTGACATCCTCAAATCCGAGTATTATGAGCTGAAGCTGAAGAACAGCCAGCGGGTGCTGGAGCTCGAGGCGTGTCTAAAGGGGGCGGAGGAGAAGCTGAAGACGCTCTCAGACCTCGAGCTGGAGTCGGAGTTGTTTGTGTCGAACTTGGCGATGCAGTCGGGGGGGCAAATGGCGCTCACTGCCGCTCCGACGTTCGCATCGGCGGCGGGAGACGACGGGGCCCCCGCGGCCGCGTCTGCCGCCCCCTCATTAAGCAACTATGAGAGCTGGCTCGCCCTGCCGCGGTCACGCAAGTTGGCCCACGCTCTCACTGTGACGAAGCGCTGCCTGCAGCTCGAGAATCGCCTCTCTGTCCTACAGCACGATGTGGAATTCAAGGACAAGCAGATTGCGCGGTTGCAGGCCTCGCTAGACATGGCCCGAGAGGCGTTGAACAACTCCAACAGCCCCTTTGCCATGGTGGAGCGCACCGTGGAGCGGCTCACGCGGGAAAACGAGGAACTCCACGACAAGACAGTGTCCTTGTCCGAGGAAAACGCGCTGCTGCGCCAGCGACTGGAGCAGCGCACCGCAGATGTGCAGGTTCTCTGCGGACATCGCAAGGAGCTTCTGCGCATCCAACGCGTCCTGCGACGCCTTGGATTGGAGGGGAAGGTGGCGGATCCAGCAGCTGCCTCGCGCTCGCAGGGGCCTCAGCAACCACCGTGGCCGCCACAGCAGCAGCAGCAGCAGCGGGAAATGGATGACGCGTTGGATCCACATTCCAGCAGTATCCGCTCTTTTGGGTTGCGGCGGGATCAAACGGCGGAGTCACCGCTTTCCTTCTCCCGACACCAGGCGGACGAGTTGTTGCACATGGGCAAGGAACCCGAGACAGCTTCGGCGACGGAGGGGCAGCAGCGACAGGCACGGCAGCAGACTCAGGAATTAGAGAAATCCTCGAGCGGCGTACTTGTCCCACGGCCCATCCAGATCATATCCTGATCGCGGTGTGACCTAAAAATAAAAGAACTCTGTACATCTGCGGGCGGGGGGGAAGAGGGGGCCTGGCGGGAATTCTTCATCTACCTTTTGTGTTAGTTCCCCTCTCATTCCACCTACTGTTTTTTTCTCCTCTGGTTGCTGCTCTGCTTAGCTTATCCTCCCTCTTGGCCCGACTGCGGGGCTTGTTGAATGGGCGCCGCGATGTTTTTTTTTTTTTCAGTCTGCCTTCTTTCTGCCCATGCGACGTAGTCACTCTTTTGGTGTAGACACAAACGTGCCTGTGCCCATTTGGCGGCGTGTTCGACGGTCACTTACGCGACTCCGATAAATTCGTGGAGGTGCGTTTGGTAGCCGACGGCGGCAGCGCGAGCCACTGAAGCCATCCTGATGCAGCCAATCGAGGCATTTGTATGAATGTGCCGATGACTTACACCTCCGTGCACCAAGCTACCTACCACAGGCACGGGACTGACGTCTGCCCTTCGCACCGCCCTCCCCCTCCCTTTCCACCTCACTTCTTGCTGGGGGCCGGTGTGTCCCCGGGCTGTGTGCCGTTGTTTGCGGCGTCGTGGCGCCCCTCCGGGATGTTTGTTGTTCCCTGCGTCCCTCAGTGGTGGCTGCTGTGGGCGTGATGAGTGCTGATCGTCTTTATCCTAACAAAACGCCTGATTTTCCTGCGTGAAGTACATTGCATCTACCTCTGATAACCTTGTCACCCCCTCGTTTATTCCTTCTTTGCGCTGCTAATTTCTTCAT